TGATGGGTTACATGTATTGGAAACATTTCAACATTCAACATGTGAAGCTACTGACAAAACGCACATCTTCTGACATACAGTGGCGGTGGCAGTGGCGGTGCGGCTGTGGTGGTGGTATATATATATGCTATGCATTGTGTGGTATTCGTACTAGGTGTTATATAGTGAATATATAAGTTCTTGGACGAATAGACCCCAAAGCTACCAGCCACATATACATATATATATATATATCCCCCCGGGCCTGCGCAGGTTCTTCGGTTACGGGCAGGTCTCTTGTTTGGTGGGGGGACCCCGGGGGGCGGCGCTAAGGTAGGATTTTCCCTACCGATGAGCACCCACCCACCCCCTGCCCGTCTCCGCCTCGCAGGGTGACAGTGCCTTTTCCCTTTGTTCTTTCCCTTTTTCTTTGGGTTCCTAGGTTGGTTGGGTTCTTTCTGCTTCTCTGGATGCGGGTTACTTGGTGACGATGTTGCGATGCTTGGTGACCGGTTGTTCCTTGTTTTGCTTGTTGGTGATGCTGCCTTCTTGGATGATGTTGGATGTGTGGATGACTGCTTCATGATCTGCGTCCGGCCCTCAGAGTGACCTGCATATAGAGGAAGCGGAAGTGGCTATGGTGGGGGGTGGCAGGGCGGCGCTCAGGGGGCTCTGCGCGCGGTGATCCCCCGCCCTGTCCATCCCCCCGCCATTACTCGTTGCAAAACCGTGCCTCCACCAACAGTCTGAGGAGGGGGGGGGGGTGGCTCTCAGGGGGAGCGCCGCTTGCTTTGATCCCCCACCCGCGCCCCCTCCTCAGCCAACTGCGTGCCAATTCCATGACTTGTATGGCCCTTTAGTTTCGGTTTAGTTTTTTTTTTCCTTTCGTTTGGGTGGTTTTCCACGGTTCTTCGGACTAGGTTCTTTTGCGGGCTTTTCTCTTCACTTTCAGGCACCTTGAAGCTTTTTCCAGCTTCCTTTTGCCAGCAGCAGTCCTTGAACCTTTGGGCAGTGGTTTTTGATTCCCGTATATGAGCATGGTTCAGGCCCCATGTGAGTTGAGCTCATCAGCTTAGTTTGTGTTTGCGCTGCGTAGCTCCTGTTGTGTCCCGTCTGGTCTCGTCTCTCTGTCCTGTGTGTTTGCTCTCGTTTGTCTGGGTCGCTTCACTCTTCTTGCTCCCAGTTACTCTGCCCTTTCCCTTTTCCTTTCCCTGAACTGCTACCATTCATGTCCGTGGACAGGTCACTTACTGGCTCACTTTGTATACTAGACTTTGACGAGCTGCTACGCTGATGGGCCTGTTCCCACGTGTGCTCTCCTCCTTGGCCAGGCAGCTGGATGTGATCCTTCACCTGCTCCTGGCCAGGTCCGTCCTGGATACAGCTGGTGCCCTCCCAACCACCCTTGCCGATTTCAATTGTGACCTCAAATTTGAGGGCTCCACACCTACGGCAACTGGCTGGACGGCACAGGCCGTGCTTGCGGAGATGGGCGACACCTTTGTGTCATGGCCCACTTCGCCATTCACTACCGCGGCCATGCAAGTCGCGCAACTAGCTCCTGAACAGGCGTTTGACAACCTGGTTCTGCTTTGCATCCTCTTCGCGACCCAGTACCTTAACTCCACGGCTTGTACACTCCGCGCCTCGGCCCGTGATAAAATGGCCGCCTTTCTGAAGATTCCACCCGTGCCGGGCGCGTGCTTCACGGGCTCTTGCACCGGCTGGGCAAAATGGATGCAAAGCGGACCTTACTTCACTCCATTCCATTGGGTCTGGAGCGTTCGCGTCTCAAAATTGGCAAAAAGTGGAACTCCAAGCGCTGCATTGTCAGCCAACTGAGCAACATACCTGGGTTTGGCCCCTACACGGTGTCTGCTTTTTGGCAGTTATACCGGCGGTGCTTCCCCACGTCCCCGGTACAACTGGACAAGTCTTTCTGCGCCACTGGTCCGGCAGCGAGGACAGGCCTTAACTGGCTTTTGGGATTCCCTCCCAAGATGGCCAAGGACTCCGCCAATGCAGACTTTGCCTTGCTCTACATCGACCAGCTTGGTAAGCTACAAGCCTCTCTGGGACGCAACCACCTTCTGCGCCCACAGGCGGGTGACTCTGCAGTCATGGCCGCAGCTAAGGCGCAGTTGAAGCAGCACTTGGACACTCTTGAAGGTCGTGCATTTGCATGCTGCGAGTACAGCAAGTTCATTAATTTTCTCCTCGGAGGGGCCTTGATTGCGCCTGCCTTTAATTTAAAAGGGCGCGTGCGTGTGCTGCGCCTGTGTGTGTCTTCTGCCCCCTCTTCTCTCTCTTTCCTCTTCCTCCTCTCTTTCTTTGTCCTCCCCTCCTCCTTCTTCCTCTTCCCTCTCCTCCTGGTCATCTTTTCCTCCTTTTTCTTTTTTCTCTCTTTCTCTTCTTCTTCTTCTTCTCTTTGCTCTCCCCCCTTCTCCCCTTTCTCTTCCGTCTCCTCTCCT